AGGCCACTTAAGAATCCTGCAGGGCCTGGGCAGCCAACTTCCTTCTTCACAAAGGAGCCCTGGAGGCTGTAATAGCTCGGCTGTCATCTCAGGGCCTCTGCCCTCATGGAGGGCAGCACAGTTCAGAACTCTGCTTCTTGGGCTATGGAGATACTAGAACACACAGTTCACCCCCGGGATGGGTGCACAGTCCTGTGCTTACCCTCCAAACCAGAGACCTGAGTGAGTAAAGCTCAGGACAGGCACTGTGTCTGCAGTCCTGAGGAAATGTTGGTCCCTGTGATCTGGCCCTGGAATGTTCCCCCAGACCCACTGCTATGGCTAGAGGACCCTCATCTAGAAGTGACATCCTGGACGACTCTTCTGTTTTGCTGCTTTGGCAACAGATCCCTTGTCAAACAAAATGGTATGTGAATGTGTAACTTGAGAAGCAGGGAGGTGGTGGTGGACAGAGAGATGGCTCCATCGTTAAGAACCAGAGGACCCAGAGTCAATCCTCGGTGCCCACACGGGCCACAATCATCTGTAACTATAGTTCCAGGGGATCCAATGGCATCTGGGATCCAAAGCATGTGGCACACAGACATATGCAGACAGAACATCCATATGCAAAAATAAATAAATAAGGAAGAAGTGTTCCAGAGTGGTGACACACAGCTGTAACCCTAACCAGCACTCAGGAGGTTGAAGCAGGAGGATTGCGTATTCAAGGCCAGCCTGGGCTAAATATCTGCATCCTGTCTCAAAACTTCCCCACAAAGCCACAGTTTGAGGCTGGGGACAGGGGGGGGGTAGCTAGGCAGATAAAGGCCATCGCATACACCCTGGCACACACCCATACACATACAACATACACCATATATACAGTTAAAATCAGGGCGTGTGACCGAGATCCCGGGCTGGCCATTCAGTCTTCCCAGGACACCAGTCTTCTGCCTTTCATATATGGTAAGTAATTCATAGTAGCAGGACAGAGGGCAAGGAAAGCCGCCAAGCACTGTCCCACTCCTTAGATTCACTATGGCCTTGAATGACCCAACAGCCCCCCTAACTTGCACCTCCTACTCTCCAATGGTACCAGCCTCCTTCTAGCCCGGCTCCAGCTCAAGTTGACAACATGCACAGGCCTCTGTCCTGATGCCTCCCGACACTGCTGTCTCCTGCACCAAATTTGAGGTCTGCGCAAATAGGATCCCGCTTGTAGCCAGGCTTGGGCTCACTCAATACCTTGTTGTCAGACAGCAGCAGGCCTCAGCATTCTGCAGTCCCCAAAGCCAGTTGGCTCGTGTGTCCATCCATTTAAAGATGTTCCCAATCACTAAGCAGGCCCCCTGTCTGTATACAGGATGGTGACCCAATGAGTTTCTGTGAGAGCAGCCCTTCCCCAAAATGTGCATAGAAAAAGAAAAAAAATGCCCAGCCTGGACAGTGACCAGACCTTCAAGTGGCTACTGGTTTCTTTTTTAAACTTTTTGGTTGTATTTCCTACGTAATATTGCTCCTATAACCCCTAAATTTGGTGCCAATGCTCAGCCTATCTATTGTCCGTGGAAAAGCTGCTGTGATGATAACCGCACTGGCTTGTGAGGTGGGTCCCTGAGCACCCTGTAGACTCAGCACACCATTGGGTCTTCCCATTTTTAAAGAGACCTGCAGGAGGCTTTCTTCCTGCTTGCTCTACCTGCTGAGGATGTAAGAGAGTCTGAGGCAGGAGGGTCCCTTGTGGCAATCCTACAGGCTGCCTGCTAGGTGGCTGAAGATCAAGAGAAGGGAGGCCATGCCACTGGGCAGGGCTGCCACCCTGAGAAGCATCAAGGCAAGTGGCCATCGCCTCTAGAGGGGCAGGAACGGATCCTCTCTGGAGGGAGAGGACAGCTGGGCCCTGGATGATTGCAGTCCTGAGGTCACCACAGGCCATCTTCACAGGATTGCAGGCAAGGCTGGAGGGAGCATCTCAGAATCCATCTTCAGAAAGAGCATGAGACACAGGCTAGACCTTGAGTCTCCACTCTGCCTTTTACTCCTGGAACTTGGATGAGTCACTTTAAGGACCATGTCCCTGAGTTCACTGTGGCTCGGAGGACAGCGTGGTCTCTAATCAGATCATACAGGGTCTGAAGCCCACTCCTTGGCAAAAAGAGAAGACCCAGCTTATCTGGAGAGACCAGCCAAGGACAGCCAGTTTGGCAACTACTCAGGAAAAAAAGGGGAGGAGAACCCCTATACCCATGGGGCACCCTCATTAGCAAGCACAGCCCACTGCAATGGCTCCAGTGCCCACACACCCTCCATTCTGACCTGCTGTGGAATTCCACTGGAGCTTTCCTTTGAAGGTCCATGACTCCGGCCAGACTGGTGGGCCCTCATCCTGATGCAGACATTCAGACAGTTTCTTTCTTTGATAGACTAGAGGTCAGCCTGCCCACTTAGGCCCCGCTGGTGTGTTCACAGTGCTAGAGGGAGTGTCATCTAGGGAAATCTCAGAGGACCTCTGACTCCTTTACGTGTCTGCAGTTGTATCAGTGTGTGCACACATGTGGAGGCCAGATGCCAGCCTCAGTTTTGGTCTCCAGACTATGCACCCTCCGCCCCGTGTGTGTGTGTGTGTGTGTGTGTGTGTGTGTGTGTGTGTGTGTGTGTCTGTGTGTGTGCACGTGTGCACGCATGTGCATACATGCGTGCCAGAGGTCAATGTTAGATATCTTCCTCAATCTTTCTACTTTATGTTTTACTTTTCACAATGTATTTATTTGAATGTGTCTGAGTATATGGGCCACAGCATGGGTTTGGAGGTCAGAAAACAATTTACTTGCAGGAGTCGATTCTCTCCTTCTGTCCTATGGGTCCCAGGGATCAAACTCAGGTTGTTAGGCTTGGTGACAAATGCCTACTCACCGAGCCATCTGTCTATTATTATTATTATTATTATTATTTTGGTTTTTCGAGACAGGGTTTCTCTGTGTAGCCCTGGCTGTCCTGGAACTCACTCTGTAGACCAGGCTGGCCTCGAACTCAGAAATCCGCCTGTCTCTGCCTCCCAAGTGCTGGGATTAAAGGCGTGTGCCACCACTGCTCAGCTCCTATTATTTTTTGAGATAGTATTTTACTGACCCTGAAGCTCACTGATTGGGCCAGGCTAGCTGGCCATCTAGCTCCCAGGATCCTCCAGTCTTCACATCCTTAGCATGGGGATTACAACTACACACTGCGGAGACTGGAGAGGTGGCTCAGCAGTTAAGAGCACTGACTGCTCTTCTCAAGGACACGAGTTAATTCCCAGCACCACATGACAGCTCACAACTGTAACTCTAGTTTCAGGGCTCCTGACGCCCTTACACATAAATACTTATGAGCAAGACATGAATGAACTTAAAAATAAGTTATAAAAAAAAGTACATACTGGGACACCCTTCGTTGCTGTTTTCTGTTCTTTGGTTTTCTCCAGACAGGGTTTCTCAGTGTAGGCTTGGCTATCCTAGAGCTCACCGAGATCTTCCTGCTTCTGCCTCCCAAGTGCTTGGTAGTTCTAGAGGGTCACTTCAGGCCTCATGATTGCATGGCTAACAATGAACTGACTGAAACATCTTGTAGCTACTTCCTTCTCAGTGAGCTCTCTCCCGGCTGTCTGTACCACTGGGCTAATTCCATAGCTGACTTCTTTTTATGAAAAGTTGTCTTCCAAGAAGACTCATCAATGGCTTCTGGATCAATTAGAGAAGAAATAGAAGTAACACTGGCCATTCATCAGATTCTGAAACCTGACACTGGGTAGGAGGGAGTACTGTCCCAGGGGCCCCTTGGAGAAGGCCCTTTGTCTGGTCCCACCATGGACAACATGGCTCACCATTGCTGTGCCTAGTGGGGTGGGCACCATGGTTGGAGATGGCTGTGTTGCCCTCAAAGACATAAGTTAGAGAGTTGATCCCCTAGGTTGTGATGTCAGGAGCCCTCAAAAGTGCCATCCTGTCTTTCTGTCTCACCATGGAATATTCCATGAGGTCTTTATGAGACTTCAGCCAAGGCTGGTGCTGTACCCTCCAAACCTTCTAAACTGAGCTATATAAAACGCCACATTTATCTTTTTTTCCCTTTTTTTCTTTTTTGTTTTCATTTTGTGACAGTTTTGCCATGTAGCTGAAGCTGGCCTAGAATTTGTGACAATCCTGCTTCTGAACCCTACATGCTGGAATTACAAGCATGTAACCCCCACTACACTTAGCCTGCCTCTGCTATTTCATTGAGGTAATGAAAACTCGGGGCTGGTGAGGGCTCAGCTGGTAAAGGGGCTTGCCTTGACCAGTTGAATTTGATTCCCAGAAACTATGGAAAGGTAGAGAAGGGAGCCAATTTGAACAAGCTGTTCCTCTGACTTCTACAAGTGTACCTATGGCATGCTTGTACACACAGACACACACAGACACACACACACACACAGACACTCACAAATTAATAGAACTTAAAATTATATCTTTAAATATATGAATATAGGGGGCAGTGCTAGTGTTTTTCCTGGTCTGTCTTCTCCCACTAGAGATGAAGAAATTCTCCTTGACCACTATCAGACTCTACTGCTTGCTTGCTTGCTTTGTGTCTCTCTGTCTCTCTGTCTCTCTGTCTGTCTCTATCTCTCTGTCTCTCTCTGTCTCTCTCTCTCTCTCTCTCTCTCTCTCTCTCTCTCTCTCTCTCTCTCTCTCTCTCTCTCTCTCAGATGGGGTTTCTCTATGTAGCTCTAGCTGTCCTGGACTCCTTTTGTGGACCAGGCTGGCCTTGGACTCACAGAGATCCACCTGCCTCTGCCTCTTGAGTGCTGAGATTAAAGCTGTGAGCCACTACACCCTGCCGGTCTCCTTTTCTTAATTTCCTAGAGGTCTGAGCAGGGGAAAAGTTCCGTAGCCTTGCCCCTCTACTGTTCAGTGGCGTCGGAATCTAAGACTCTGTTTGGGGCCTCCATTCTCTCTACCCACTCTGGACTCTTACTCACAAAGGCTGAGTCAAAGAGGGGCTATTGATGTCAAGTTTATTGAGCCATCAGCTTGTTCTGTGTACTGGAAACGGCACATTCAAGTCTGCCCATCCCGACTCTAAGGTACTTTCTGTACTTGCAGCCTTGACTGTAGAGGTGGACATTTCTGCTCTGTAGGAGGGTCGTCTTCAGTTTCATGAGAGCTGCCCCAGCCTGTGTCTGGGTAACTCATGGGGACAGGAAGAACAGTGAGCTGGGATTGTTTCCTCGGACAGGGATAGGGGGAAGAGTGCTGACCAGTCACTGGGGCCAGCTAGGGCTGTGGGTGGTAGGCAGGCTGGCTCAGCCCTGGGCTTTCTGTGGACTCCTCTCACATCAGAGAGTTCAATGAGGAGGCAGCATGTCTCATCCAATTGGGTGGTCAATTAAAGGACCAAGTGCCAAAGGTGACTAAAGGGGTTCAGGGACTCAGACAGTCTCAGAGGGACCTGCCAGCCTGAGGGTTTCATTTTCTGGAGGCCTGACAGGTCTCTTCCACCCTCCTGGATGTCACTGTGGGAAACATGGCATAGGCCAGGAAAGGGAACAAAACTCTGACCAGACACTAGGGAGGGGGGAATGTTGACAGGGAGTCAGTAGAGGGAGGTTGAGGAAGGGGATGGCTGGCTCTGGCCCAGGGACAAGCATCCTAGAACTTCCAGTACCTGCCCAAACTGGCAGTGGGCAGAGGGCAGGGATAGCAAAGCCTTGGGTAGCATGGGGCCTGGAAGTATGCGGGAAGAGGGCGCAGTGATGGGAGTATGGGAGCAGGGGGATGCCCTTGTCCACTGTCTCTGAAGGCCGGTCACTTGTCCATGTGCTTCAGCAGCAGGTCCACGGCCTCCGCAAGGTTGTCCACGTACCCATCTGCCTTCACTTCTGGATGATGCTCATCAGCAGGCCTGGAGGACAGGACCATAGTTAGTCTAGTAGGGTATCAGTCCATTTTTGTTATTACTGTATACTAGAGCCCAGGTAAGACTGTAAAGAAAAGGTATGTATGTAGTTCCAACTTTAGAGACTGAAAATCCTACATCAGGCCTCAGGGGGAGCGTAAGGACAATGCGTGGTACTCGGAAGTGATTCAGGGTTCAGGCTTAAACCTTAGGAACTCACTACCAAGCAGGTTCTTCTGCTCAGTGTCCACAAAACCACCCGCAGGCTGAGCGTGGTGGTACGCTAGAGAGGCAGAAGCAGGCAGATCTCTGTGAGTTTGAGGTCAGACTGGTCTACAGAGTATGTTCCAGGACAGCCAGGGCAACATAAAGAAACCCTGTCTTGAAAAGAAGGAGGAGGAGGAAGAAGAAGAAGAAGAGGAGGAGGGGGAAGAAGAAGAAGAAGAGGAAGGAGAAGATGAGGAAGAGGAGGAGGAAGAGAAGGAACCTCCTCAAACACTCCTAAGAACAGTAACTCAGTGTCCTTCTCCTAGACCCAAATTGTTCAAGGTCCCAGCAACTCCCACATGGTCACACTGGGAACCAAGCTTCTATCACATGAGTCCTTAGGGGACAAACCACACTTAAATCTTTGCAGCCAGTGACCCTACAATAGCCTCCCAAAGCCACTGCCGGTTAGCTGCAGTGAAGCTACCTTCCAGCATGTAGCCTGGCTTTACCCTGAGGAAGCTCCGTGTACTCCGCACTGTGTGTTCTCCACACCGTGTGTTCTCCGCACTGTCTGGCAGCCAGGGCTGTGGTTCCTGCTGAGCCCTCCTCTGCAGTCCCACTAAGGCACACACACTCCTACCGTCGGCCACTCCACACCACTCTGCGGCAGAGTAACTGCTGGCCTTGGCTCCGTATGTCTCTAGCAAAAGTGTAACCCAGGGAGAGCACCCTGCTTGGCAACTGGGGTTCTGGCTTGGTACATGTGCTCTGGGGGGATGACTAGGGTACTGACAATCAGAACTCCTCTTCCCTGATGCTCTGGAGTGCCACGTGCTGCCCAGTTCTTTGAGTTCTTCACTGCTGCCTCACTGGGGCACCAGAGGCTCTTGGCAAAGCCATTCTTTGGCTAGGGTGCTGAGGATCAGGACCACCCCTAACCCTTCACTCATTCATTCACTAGCCACTCCTGCAGTCTGACTGGACAGTGCCTGTGACTTCCTTGATGAGGCTGAATCCTGAACTCAGAGTGTGCTCTAAGCAGACAGCAAGATTAGGGAGGCCAGGTAGGCTCATCTTCACAGTCTTCTGAAGATGTGGGGGCCTCATCCCATGAGCTGTGGGCAGCCTTGCCAGGGCTGGGAGCCAGAATCTGGTCTTGGCCACCAGAAAGCCCCTTTCCATGGCTCCCCAGGCTTCATGGTGTCACACTAAGCAGTCAACCAGGGTGTGGCAGGAGGAGGGACAGCCTCTGCAACCCTCCTACTGCAGAGGGACATGCTGCTGGGATTACCCCAGGCCTGACTCACACTTCTGGGAACTATATCTACCGGCCATATTATTGCTCCCTCAAAACTTCACCACGCCTGAAGAAAGTGATTCCATTGCCTGGCAACATTGAAAATCCATGCCATCCTTTTTCTGACAACTGTAGAATGACTAGCCTGAAGGGAAGGGGCCTCCCTCCATCTTTTAAGGCCCTGGACTAGAAGGGACCAGGGGAATATCTTCTCACAGGGAGGGGCGACAGAAATAGCCTAGCTCCACATTCACAGGTGGGGCCTGTGCGGAAAGGACAGGAAACAGCCTGGGGCTGAGGGCATGATGGGTAGCCAGAAGGTCAGGGAGTCTGTTAGAGGGCCCAAGGCCTGAGCCCAGCTTTCACCATCATCCTGAGGATAATGCAGGCTGTCTGCCTGTGACTGAAACCCTGACCCTTGGATCCTGGCTGGAAGTGGGGCAGAAGCAGCTCTGCCAGGTTCACCTGGGTACTGTTTAGAGTCTGGGGCTTGAGGGCCTACATAGGAGAGGCATTCCTCCCAAACACCTCCTCTGTCCCTGCGTAACAGTCTGTGGTAGGTGCCACAAAAGCTGCAAGACCAGGTGGCCTCCACCAGCATGGCTGCCAGCCTGCCCTGGTTGGTTCCTCACAAGACAAAAGGGATGCTTTCTGCCCAGGCCAGACTGGTGCCTTCCATCTTGCCCTGACCTTCCACTGGATCGCCCTCAGTCCATTCCCCTTCCCACTCTTCTACAGTCAGGATGTCCCCCTGACACGCTCACCTGCTCTGGCCTCTCCCCTGTATAAACTGCTGACTCTCCCAAATGCCCACAGCCTAGACCCCAGCACAGCAGACCTCCATTCTGCCTAGACCTCTCCACATGACAGCCACCAGGTTGAGAAAGTCACAACATCTAGAAGCCATTGTCCACGCTGAGCTTTGTAATCAATCAATCCCTCCCTCCCTCCCTTCCTTCTTCCCTTCCTTCCTTCCTCCCTCCCTCCCTTCCTT